AAATCCAGATAGCAAAATCACACTGAAGTCCAAGTAGTCAAAGCAAGAGCAGATAGCACAATGGAACCGAGTAACCATCCATTTGAGAATGATACAGAAGAATCGTGAGTCAATGTCCAAGCCCAACAGGGCAACACCAACAGCATAACCCAATGTAGCTCTCTCTCCTGAATGGCGCCAGGCGCCCTATCTACTCTACAGCCTAAGCCTACAACTACAGCAATGAAAGCACTCTCCCTTGTTATCCCACACAGTGCCCTTCACTTCCGAAGAACCACCTTCGCCCTCACCTCCCCTGCGCCCTCAGGCAGCCCGGCTATGGCCGCCAGCGCCCTATGCACAGGCAGCGCCCTACCGCCTAGCGCCTGCCTGTCTGGCACCTCATCCTAGCGCAGCGCAGCAGCGCAGCAGCTCGCATTAGCGCAGCGTGCCGGCATTGCCCGCAATGGCCAAGATCCCTGCCCACTCGCCCTGCTTGCCTATATGCCAGTGTTGCGTGTGGGCGGCCTCCCTTCAGCCTGCGATTGGGCCCCAGTGCCTGAACCCAGGCCCGATGCAGTTGGGGCCCAGGTGATGCAGTTCCGCCTCTTTCGTCAAGGCCTGCGGCCAGATTCAGATAGTGGGCCGATTTCCCTTTGGCATTTTCGGCCTCTATACCCAGCATGCATTGTCGGACTCTCGTTCAAGTGTCCAGGGCCTAACTAACTCAGAGGCCCTCGGATCTCCACATTTGCAGAGATTCGAGACTCCGTGCACTCCAACCAACTGGCGTGTTGCAACTGTATGAACCCCACTTCGTGAAATGTTTGTACAAAGGGCTCTTGTTGATTTGCTGGCCCGCCTTCACTTAGGGCGGGCACTAGGCTTGCTGGGGCCTTAGCCCAGAATATGTACATCATGGCAAGGCCCCTTCTTGAGGGCTCAATCCTCACATTCCATCCCCCTTATCTTTGAAAGTCCGCTGAGATGCTTACTTCGCATGTGCCTTCCCTTTCAGCTTCTTCTCATATTCTGCTAGCACTTGAGGAGTTGTGTCAATCAGTTCCTCTCTGGTGAACCATCGGTCTTCCTTTGGATCTGTATGATGCCTGAACCTGACACGATATTCCCGCTTGGGTTTTGGAGGTCTTCCTCTACCCAATGGCTTCTGAACAGGCAGATCTTTGTGATCCACAATGTCGTCGATGTCCACTTGACCATCCATGGTTGGGGGCAGCATCGATCTCCTTGAAGAGAACTGATCCGTCTCAGCGAAAGGTGCAAGCTTTGAGGCATGAAAGACAGGGTGAGTGCGTAGGTGTCCAGGGATGCGGATCACATAAGTGGGACCATCCATCTCATCCCCCACTACATCAAGGACTTCCCAAGGACCAAAATACTGAGGCATTTTCTAGAGATACCGAATTCCTGTCCTAGCTCACTAGCCTTGACCCAAACACGTTCCCCTACCAGAAATGAGGACTGTCGCCGATGCTTGTTCTCAGAAGCAATCATTGCTTGCTGAGCTTTCTTGATGTGCTCGACAGCTTGCTGCAGCAACTTCTCATACTGCACACCATACTCAAGTGTGCCGGGAGTTGTAGAGGATCGGTTTTCAGGTAGGAGGAAGTCTAGAGCTGATCTAGGCTTCCATCCCAAGTGCAGCTGATTAGGACTGATGCCGGTACTGCTGTGTACAGCATTGTTGTACAGGCTGGCGATGAGAGGCAACTTCTCATCCCAATCATCCTGGCTGGGCTTGATGTAATGCCTCAGCAAGTGCTGTACAACTCTGTTCATTTGCTCGGCCTGTCCGTTGGCTTCGGGATGATTCCCTGAAGTCATCTGAAGTTGACTGCCCATCTGCTCAACAGTCTTCTTCCATAGCTCACTTGTGAATCAGACATCTCTGTCACTAACGAATGACTTTGGAAGTCCAAAATCACGCACCCAGTTGTTCATAAACAACAAAATGACGTGGTCAGTCCTTGCGGTCTCTGGCATGGCAACTAGTCTGACGAAGATGTGCCTCTTGCCACTCTTGCTGGTCACCAGGGTGTCCATGAAATCCATGGAAACACTCTGTCCTGGACCAGTAGGGATAGGTAAGGGCTTCAGCAACCCAAGCGGTGCTTGAGTTCGCGGCTTGTCCCGCTGACAGACCTGACAGGTCTCTACATACTTCTTCGCATCTTCTAGCATTCCAGGCCACCAAAATTGTTGTACTAGATTAACACTCGTCTTTTTGTAACCAAAGTGCCCGGTTGCATCATGGCATTCTCCTAAAAACAAACTACGCAAACGTTCACTAGATGGAACTACTAGCCTTTTAACACCGGCCTTATCAAGATAGAGTAGCCTGTCCACCATCACAAACTCACTTTCCGTGGCCTTGTCTTTTGCCTGAAGTTTGCCCATGATGTCCATCGTGACAGGGTCTTCCTGATAGGCTCCCACCAATGATTGAGTTACTTCTTCAGATACACCAAAGTCAGAAACTAGCGCACCTAGGTAGTCTGCCCTACATGATAGCGCGTCTGCAACCTTGTTGTACTCCCCCTTCAGATACTCAAGCTTGAAGTCATATTGGTCTATGACTTCAACCCATCGCTTGAATGCGTCATAAAGAGCCGGTTGAGTCTTGATCCATTTGAGGGTCTGATGATCAGTCCTCAAGTAGAAGAACCTTCCCAATAGGAAGTGTCTCCAATGGACAAGTGCCTTATAGAGAGCATAAAGTTCCCTTTCGTAGGTGGACTTTGCCAATTTCTTCGATGGCATTTTCTTGCTCATGTACTCAATCGGTCTCAACTTCTTCCCATCTTGCTGAGCCAGCACTGGGCCAGTGCCATATTGGCTTGCGTCAGTGGTCACTATAAATGGCTTCTGAGGATCGAGAACCATGAGAACTTCATGATTCATGAGTGTATGCTTCAATCGCTTGAAAGCACCCTCGCACTCATCACTCCAGTCCCACGGCGTGTCAAGTCGAGTTAGATCCGTCAAAGGAGAGGCGACTGTAGAATAGTTCTTTACGAACTTCCTATAGTAGCCGCACATTCCTAAGAAAGATCTGACCTCAGTGACAGTCTGAGGTCGTCGCCAGTCTAGAATACTAGCCACCTTCGCATCTTCTGGCCTAATTCCCTCCGCGGATACTTCATGACCCAAGTATAATATCTTAGTGCGACCAAACTCACACTTCTTTAAGTTGACCTTATACTTGTGCTGTCGCTGGAGTGAAAGTACAGTCTCAACGTGCTGTGCATGCTCCTCAGCAGACTTACTAAAGATCAGAATGTCGTCAAGGTAAACAATGATAAAGTTATCTAAATGGTCATGGAAGATCTGATTCATAGTGTGCTGGAATGTTCCCGGCGCATTGCAAAGACCAAAGGGCATCACTACAAACTCATACAGACCATATCGAGTCTGAAAACTTGTCTTGTTTTGGTCCTCGGGTCTTATAGCGATCTAATGATAGTCGGATTTCAAGTCTATCTTGCTATAGTACTTGCATCCCTGCACCCTATCCAGTAGGTCGTCTATGCGAGGTAGAGGCTCTGCGATCTTCACTGTGATGGCATTGAGGCCTCTATAGTCAATGCACATCCTCAATGTACCCCCCTTCTTTGGTACAAATAGTACTGGCGATCCGTAAGGGGAAGTACTAGGCCGGATCCATCCCTTCTCTGTCAGCTCTTTCAGTTGTCGTCTGAGTTCATCTAACTCGGCGGGAGCTATCCCATAGATCCTCCCCTTTGGGGTTTTACTCCCTGGGATGATTTCTATAACGTGGACAACTTCCCTTTCTACGACCCCTGTGGGCTCTTCGAACAGATCAGGGAACTTAGCAACGACGCGTTCTATCTCTGGGGGTGTTTTAACGGCCTCCCCTTTCTCAGAGACATACACTAGGTACATACCTTCCTCTTGGTTCTGCTTATAATAGTTGTAGAACGCTGATGCACACAAGCAGCCATAGGTATCTATAATGCTACWGGCTTTGAACTTAATCAATCTGACTGTCCTGCCATCGGGCAACTTATGCTTTAGCACCTTCTTATCCCAGTCGAACTGGGGCTTAGCAAMCTCAAGGTAGTACATGCCTAACAACATGTCGAATGGTAAGTCRTCGYTAATCAAGAACRAAATCTTGTGATTAAGTTCTCCTYCTCCATAGGAGAAGGTACAAACTACGTCCTTGATATAGTTTGTGACTATCATGCGCTCCTTGTTGGCCAAAGTAGATGCTACATGTCTACTAAGGTGCCGTACCCGGTCCTGTAGGTGCAGCCTTTCCAAACAGTCGCGACTTATGTAATTCCGCGTGGAGCCTATGTCTATGAAGACACCACATTTGCGGCCTCCTATATCGACTTCCACCACAAAATGTTCCCCTCTAGGACCTTTCCTTAGCGCCACCCAAGATTCGCGAGGGTCCTTGTTTGACCACTCGCTTTCTAGATCTTCTAAGGCTTGAGACACATCCAACGTACAGAGCATAGTTTGGTCTGGATGAGTCTGCGGGGTGACTAAAGAGTCATTAGCTATGGCCTGCTCATGAAGTGGGGAGGGTATCATGCCCACTTCACCCTGAGTAAAAGCAACTAAAACTTCCACCGGCCTCACATATTTCCCAAGCTAGAAGCCTGGGAAGAAGATGCCCCCATCTTAGGAGGTATCTTCTGCATGACCTTTGCGTTTTGGCACTTGTACTGGGTGTGCCCGTATTCACCACAGTTTATACAAGCGCCACGCACTCGGCGGTCCCGCCACACGTCTTGATCAAGACCTGCCTTGACCCAATCAGCCACTTTGGTCTGATTGGAGGCGGCCTTCCCTTGACTCTTTGGTTGGCCCTTCACTCGGCCACCAACCTTAGCCTTAACTACTGCGGCGAGGGTGCTACCCTCAGCGGTCTCCTCGCCGTCGTACTCTGAACCGTCC